GTTTTTTTTTTCGGCGTGCCCTCTCCGTGCGTGATGCTCTGCTTGACTCTTTCCACCCCCCCCCCTTTCTCCTGTAGGTCTCTCCCACCCCTGGCCCTCCTCGTCGTCCCCTCTTCTGCCCGCGCTCGCATTCTAGCGAACGAATTGAAAGTATACGTTTGAGAATTAAATCGATAAACGAGGAATCGCAGAATTGTAGCAATTATTGTATCAGCGGTTTGCATTTATAATTCCATTATCGCTTGTTTATCTATTTCGAGAGCACGGGAATGAAATTTCAGGAAATTCTGCTAGAATAGGTGCATTAAATTAAATTGCGTTATGTAAAATTGAATTGAATTGAATTAAATTGCGTTACGTAAAATATGAAATATTGTTTCAAGTCGTAATCGAAATAATAATATGACTGGTGTATTGTGAGGTAGGTAACCGTCGCTTGTAACGATTTCTGTATTCATCGCTGATGTGGATTACACTCGTGTGTTTCACTCGCTCGAACAATGGAGCAGCGCCGCGGCCTGAAACCGTCTCTCGAGAACGAATTCTACGACGAAATCAAATTCCAAGGTGGAAGACGATCGCTTCGCGATTCGAGTTGTCCTTGCTTTCGCCTCAGTTTTGCGCGATCGGATCCGTAAACGATTTATGTGCCGAAATAAAATTCGCGCGACGAAAACAATAGGGTGATGATTTATCGCGTCGCGTCTAATTCGCTCGAATTCTCTCTACGTGCCGGGAGCAGCAAATTTTTCCAACCAAAATCGAATAAATGTGCGTAGTAGTGGGATTTTATGCGCCGCCCTCCCGGCCTTCTCCCGGCGATTATTTTTACATTTAGCTCACGAAAGGATTGCGAGATATATGAAATAAAATGTCGCGAAGAAGGTCACGCAGCGCTGCATTTATAATGTCACGTATTTACTAACGCGAGATGCATCGTTTCGTAAGCAGATCGGTAAAGTAATGCGTAGAAAATAATAGCGCAGCGATTTATGTTGCTCTCCTTTGTGTTTTCGCGAGTGGCAAAAAATCAATGTATGGAAAGAATCATTTTGCTCGAATATTTAAAAATTTTCAATTGAACATCTATACATTCGAAAAGAATTTTGTTAGACTATAGAAAAATCGATGTAACTGTATGCACGCACGCGCGCAAAACGATTTTGTTGAAATAATTAAAAATTTAGATACAGATCTGAAAATAATTTTGTTGGACCATCAAAATAATTTATGTAGGACGCTCAATATAGTTGCTTATAGAATGTCAAAATTTCTTACAATACTGCTCATCGTACTCGAGCGTCCTATATAATTATTTTGATGGACCAACAAAATTATTTTCAGATCTCATTTAGCTACATTTCTGGATACTTTAGCAGAACCATCGCGTCAGATGAAGTCGAATGGAAGTAAAAATACTATAAATTTAGTACATTGTGCAATTTGACGTGCACGCGACAAATGTGATACCGGTGTATTGCGTCGCGATAAAAATCGACGTTTTTCCGGATGGTCGGCGCGGAGCGAGGGGGGAGAGGTGGATCCCCGCGCAACTGTTTCGCTCTCGCAATAGAAAATATGTTTTGAAATTCGCGCAATGACGCGGCAATTCTCTTCGAGAGTAATAATATAGTTGCCGAGCGAATATAGTTTTCTCGCGATTTATTTACGCGCAAGGTTACCTAACGTCACTTTAATCGACAATTCTCTTTTCGAAATTGTATCGAGCACTAAGCTTTGATGTGATGTATCACAACATTAACGTTCGAATATCACGGTTCATCGCACGTAAGCAGGGACGTTGAGCGTGATGTTCAGAACGCAACGCGAGTTTAATATTTTTGTTAAAGCCCATGACACATACAAAAACGTAAGGCCGTAAGACGTAATCAGTAAGCGAATTGGCCAATCACGATAGAGACCGTAAGGCCAGTAGCGAATCCAATTTTACTGCTTACGTGTTACGGCCTTATATTTTTGTATGTGCCATTGGCTTTACAGTCGTTAATCGCGCGGAGGAAAAGCGTAATTTTTTCATTCTCTTTAAACATTCTTTTTTTTTTGTGAACCACATTGTGTATTCCACGTATCATCGCGATAAAATCACATTATTATCTTTACTAATATTATCATTATTTAAACAATGCAAACGTAGCATGTTTGCATTTATTCATTTATTCATGAATTATTATTGGTTTTGCCCGAGAATGATAAATTTCTTCGCTTCTATATTTCTCCATAAATCAAAATTATAATGTATAATTAAATGTTATATATACATTCAGCGCGCGACAGCCGACAATATTCCAGCTAGAAAATTACCAATTCCCGCTTAAATTTGTAATTATAATATATCAAAAGACACACGTACATATCTCATCCACCGCGTAGGTATTTAGGTAACCGTGTTTGTATCTATACATACGAAAACTGTCCTACCTTTCTATATATTATACAATATTACAGAGTAAAGGCGGAACACGCAGACGTGTTTTGCTGTTTTGTCCCGTTGTTTTTCAAGTATCCTTTTTTATATTAATTCATCCAGTAATCGCGCATGCATACATAGCCTGTTACGTGGAGTCGCATATCCGACATGTTTACACGCCTGTATCACTGTGTGAAATCATCGGGATCGCGTTTGTGTGCGTGTTGTGTGTGTATGCGCGCGCGTACAACGACGTGCGCGTGCAGGCCGAGTTGTACAGGGCGAATCAAATTCAGCCGACAGAGGCTGGGACAGGTGCTCCTCCAGGTGCTGCTGACGATAGCCAGCGAGCGAACGCTGCTCGGCTGCTGCACTGGAGAGAACACGGTCAATAGTACGCTATATATAATTGGGAATTGTACCTATAATTACGGAGCGTATTCTCTCTTTTTCCTTGTGGAAGAAATATTTTCTGTGAAATGTGTGACCGCGTGCACAGGTACCTCTGTCAATTTATCGTGCCCTTAAAATCATTCGTCGAAAATTATTCGTCGTTAAACTGACGCGGTTCTGTGAGACGATGCTGATTGTTTGAATTTAATTCTAATTAATACGTGACGTCGCTTTTCGATATTGAGAATCTTATTTCCTTCAACTATAGATAGATGTACATACGTACATACATAATATTTGCATGTACACACACACGCGCGCGCGCAACACACACATTAACTGCTTCACAATAATACAAGTACATACACGTGTGCGTGCGTGCGTGTGTGTGTGTGTGAACATATATGTGTATACATATATTATTATGAAACAGCTACTTTCTGATTACAATACATGTATAATAACTGAGAGAGAGAGAGAGAGAGAGAGAGAGAGAGAGAGAGAGAGAGAGAGAACGAACGAACGAACGAACGAACGAAATAAAAACAAAATTAATCACGTTGATGGAA